TGTCTTTGCTATCAAGGGAATGTAGTTGTGATACACATGCAATTCGCAATCTAGATGCGTCCAAGATTGACCTTATAGGTCGCAGCGTTGACCTTCAATCCAACAATCTAGAAACTAGGCCTCCGCGGGGCCATCGCTGCGGAGGCGGCGCCGGCCAGGCGCCTGCTATCAAGCATCAACTTCTGAGCGGCAAAGGTTGGTGGTCCAGCAAGTTGACCGCGCAGCAAAAGTACGGCCCGTCAGTCGTACAGGGCGTCTTCCTGCAATGCCCGCGAATCGTCTCGGAAGGGCCGAGTATCTCGCGCTCGCGGAGGATCGTGAGAAGGTCTTTGAGAGTTTTCATGCTGCATACTAGTACGTTGCGCCAAGGTCGCCTTCTTCTTCGCTGCTGTCGCTCTCTTCGGCGTCCAGTTCGATGACGCCGCATAGCGCAAATGCTTGACGCTTGGCCTCACGAGCCGCCCTGGCGCGATCCAGCGGCAAAGCGCGCTTGTTCCTGCGCCCCATATCTATGACCCGGGGTACATCATCCGGTTAGCGTCGTTTATCCGGATAATGGGTGTGACGACCCGGTGTGCGCACTGTGAGGGTGGACATTTTGAGCCTCCGCCTCTGTAAATGGCCTCACTTCGAGTTTCAAATTCTCCACAACGAAACATGCTACGAAGAAGATCAAACTGTCAAGGTGTTCCTCTTTGTCTGGGCTATCGATTTACAGTGCGTTTGGCATGTATAACAGCTCTGCGTTCAATATTTTGACCGCCAAAAAAGGTCGTCGATCTCTGTCGGTTGAAGGTGCGGGCTACTGTATACCTAGCGCATCCTGCAGGAACATGTAGCTTGTCATGGCTCGACGAAGGCGTCATGAGGGCCCGACATCGTCCCGGCGCTGTCCCCTGGCGCTTTGCACTGTGGAACATGTTATAACCGTGTCGGGTAGTGGCATAACATGGTTACAACGCAATTCTCGAGGTATACTTTGTTCTAGTGTCTTTTAATGGTCTTTTTCGAATAAAAGAATGAAAAAGAACGCGGCTGCGTTAAAATATCAGCGCCCGACCAGACGGTGCTGATCGCCGGGTTGTAGCAAGCAGGTGGGGCCGTCCATCGTCGTCATTTGCAGTCGCTTGAGCATGAGCTTGGAGCTAGAAGCGGGCGAGCGCAAGCACCTCATCATGGGCAACAAGAACAATCTCACGCTGCCCGAGCGCCTGTACCAGGTCGACCTCCAGCTGGCCGTGCGCATCTACGGCCTCTTTGGCACCTCCAAGGCGTGGCGGCTGCTCTGGGAGTTCTTTAGCCTCACGGGCGATGGCATCCTGTAAGGCCATACTAGCCAGCATGTCGCTCAAGGCGCTGTGTAGGTGGCTGCTCATCGTGCTGCCGCTGCTCGCACTCGCGTCGTTTGCTGGTGTGCTGGCGTCCATCACGAACGGCCAAAAGGCTTTCCTCTACTTCTTCTACCTCTGCCAGTTTGTACGAGCCTCATGATGATGCCATCCTGCGCGTCCTTCTTATGCACGACGGCGGCTAGGTCGACATTGTGTGCATCGTCATCTTCAAGCTCATCTTCCGCCGCCAGCGCCCGCCGCACCACCAGTCGGACGACCGCTTTGTCGGCCCCGACCAGCACTCGTTCCCGTCGGGCCATGCGACGCGGTCGTGGTGTCTTGTCGCACTCATCGTGTACCTCGCGCACTGTACGTGCTTGCATTCGCATCTGCTCGTGGGCTCTAGCATGCGGCGATAGACTACCCGCGCATCCTGATCGAGATGCTCGGCGCATGGAGCATCCGCGCGATGCCCACCATCATGGTCCTCTGGGCAACCGTGATTTGCTTCTCGCGCCTCGCGCTCGGTCGCCACTACCCGAGTGATATTGTAGCTGGCGGCGTCATCGGCTTCGTCCTCGAGTTTGCGCTCTCCGCCGCCGCCATGCGATTTGTATTTCCGGTCCTCCTCGCGTCCATGGCGCCCTAAGAGTCGCGCTCTAGAAGCGACGTGCAATCGACACGACACCTTGTCTGCGTTGGACGATACGAATCCACGATACACAACACAGAATAAGACATGTTGTCTGCTATTGTGTCATGGTCGACGACGATGCGTCACTCTCGGGCACATGCAGCGCTACGAGCACGTCGCCGCGCGTCCCAACCACAATCGTGCTCTCGTCCATGAGCACCAGGGGCGACGAGAAGATGTCACCAGCGCCTTGATAGAGCAGCGTCGCAGAAAGCGATGGCGCTTCGGGCTCCCAGAGGTAGACGTGCCCGTCCGTTGTGCAGACACATGTCCGCAGCGTCGTCTTGTGATCCGAAAGGATCGCGGGCGACGCGTAAATGGTGCATCCGAGGTCCACCGAGGCCAGCGTGACACCTACTCACGTAAGTCGGCAGGCACTTTAAGAGACGGGAACGCGTACCGTCAGTAGTCGACACACACCGCACCACGCCATCGTGCGAGCCGAAGAGAGCCACCTCGTTGCCACTACTCAGTGTCGCGATACGGGGCGCGCTAAAGATGGGCTACCCACGAGCATATCAATGTATCACGGCGTCCACTGCCTCGTACGAACCTTGGTCGTCGCCGCGGACCATCGCGGCGTCCCCGTCGTCGTCGAGAGCGCGTAGAGAGAGGCGTCGGCGCACCCGACCAGCAGCACATTCTGACGCACGCTGAGGCGCAAGCTGCAAAAGACAGGGGCTGGACACTAGGCAAGATCGTGTATCAGTGTATCAACTTGAAATCAAGTGGAAACACACCGTGTGTTGCCACAGCGGCGTCGGCGCGTCGTGGCACAGCGATGACCACGCATAGGCGCGGACTTCGCCGGCAAGAGACGCGCAGTACAACACCGTCGCAGCGTACACGGGGCTGGAGAAAACACTAGTACGCGTCCAAAGTCGTCTTCTGAATCTGCCTCGAAACGCGTCGTGCTACCTCTTGGTGAACGGCAGCTTGAACAGACACGCGCCCGAGGTGAGCGCGAGCCCATACAGATGGTGGTCGTGGGACCCGACAACGACGGCATTCTCTTCTTCGACGATGACCGGCGAGCACTTGACTTGGTCCTGTGTGAAGTAGACCCACAGTGTCTAGAACGCAAGAGAGATCCTTGGGATGCAGGCCAACAGGTCGAGATCGTACGCTGCCGGAGAGGACGTCGAGGCAGTAGACGCCGCCGTCGTAGCAGCCGACAACGACCATATTCTTGGCCACGGCAGCGCTCGACTCGACGCGATCCGGCAGCTCTTTCCGCCACACGACGTGTCCGTCCACGGCGGCAACGCAGAGAACGGTATGGTCATGGGACCCCACGATGATGTACTCGCCGACGTCGGTCGTTGCGAGCCGCGGGGACGCGTCAATGCACTTGTGGGCACGCACGCGCCACCGCACGGCCTCCATTCGCGGCGTCACGCGCGCTCGCTTCGTCGCCGCCGCGGGCGACATGGCACGAGGCCGCTTGCGCTGCACGAGCGCCTGCAGGTCGGCGACGGTCATGTCTGCCTACGGTATCCAGTAGTTTGCATGCCGATACATCTCGAGTCGGTCCAACGAGTATCACCTACCAGCTCGATCGGACGCAGCGTCATCTCGTGCTGCGACTGCAGCGTGTGGAGGACGATGGCCATCGCCATCGAGTTGAGGCCGAGCTCGGTCAAGGTCGTTGACGGATCCAACCGGGTCGAGGCAAGGCCACGAGTACGCGGCAGCAACGCGCGCAGCCACGACGGCAACGACCGCAGCGCAAACAGCGCGGGGATCTGGGACGGATCTGCCTTGCCGCTCGACGTCTCTGGAAAGCGAGCGATCGGCACCGTGAGCACGTGCATGGCCACACGCGGGTGCACCCTCTCGACGGCGTGGCACAATGCATCGACGTCCACGTTGTCTCCTTCATCCATGCCGACGCAGACGACGAGGGTGTCGTACTGATGCCAGCCCTCCGACGAAGCGACCGGGGCCAGTGCCACCTTCCATTTCCGGTGGTGTTGACTGAGGTACATTCGCACCGTGGTCTACCGATAGGATCTGAGGACGTCGTCGCTGCAGCGTCTTTACCTCGATCGCGGCCACGTGCACCTGCACGCCACTCACTTTGACATACCCGCCGTGGCTCCGACCGCAGAGGAACAAAAGGCCATTGGACCAGTAGGCGACATCGCCCGTCTTGAACCAGCGCTCGCCATGGAGCATGCAAAAGCGGTGGGACTCGTTGTCCAACCTAGCCGCGCCAATGCAGTCAGCTCCATTTCGACGAGATGGCATCGATAGTCGTACGGATTGACGTAGCCACGCGCAAGGGGCGGTCCACCGATGTAGAGTTCACCACGCGTCTCGTCGCTTGCGATTTCAGCCCCCTCTGCGTCCACGAGCCGTAGCTTGGTCGCGCCGATGGCGGTGCCAATGGGCACGGGGGCCGCCGTCGTCGTAGTGAGCCAAAACGTCGCATCGCCCGCGACCTCGGTGCTACCTACCCCCTCTCCATGCATGAGGATTCACTCATCTATTCTCTGTCGATGCACACTACCGTAGAGGTGCAGTAGCTGCACATACGGCAGTGCGGCAAAGAGAGCTACGATCAGATCGGCGTGCAGCGGCTCGCCGCTGACGACCACGTAGCGCAGGGAGGGCGAAAGCGAGTTCGTTTGCAAGAGGAGCTGCAACACGCTCGGCACCAGCGTCATTCGAGTCACGTTCAAGAGGTGCAGCGAGCGCGCAAAGCCCGAAAGGTCGGCCACTACCGGCGGCGCAAAGGACAAATACGAATACGACGAGGGCAGGACGAGCGTCGCGCCGGCGCAGAGCGTGCCAAAGACCTCGGCGATGGCGTCGACGAACGTGAGCGCCGTGTGCCGCAGCACGCGCTCGCCACGTGCGAACGGGACGGTCGACCACATCCACGCGAGCCGATGCCACGTGGCGGCGTACGAGCCGATGACGCCTTTCGGGTGGCCGGTGCTGCCCGAGGTGTACAGTACGTACATGGCATCGGCGTCCGATGCCCAGATAG